GAGAGGAGAGGCCGCGCCGGCCACCGCCCGACCGCCCCCGCCCCCCCTTCGCTAGCGGCGCCCGAGAGAGGTGCGAGGAGGCTCTGCACGCATCAGCACCGCCCGGGCGGGCCCCTCGTCCTCTCCCTTTACCACCGCTCCGCGCCGCGAGGAGAAGGAGCAGGCCCCGAAAGCGGGAGCAAGTCCGGACGCAGGCAAGATGGCGGCCCTAGCAGAGCGGTGACTGTCCTCTTCCGCCCCACAATGCACTGCACCGCGCCCGTGCCGTTTGCTCCCCCTCCTCCCGCCTTCGGCGTCGCTCCGGAGAAACACGAAAGCACTCGGAAACGTTCGATAACCAATGGCAAGCGTCGCTCGGAGAGGGAACCCCGGCAGGCAGCGCTGCTACTCCGCGCATGCGCGCAGCGTACGCCCGGCGCGCAGCGGCAGCCGGTGGCGGAGGCGTTTAGGGGAGGTTATTATTTGGGGCCGGGGACGGAGATGGGGGTATCGAGGGCACCGGGTTTAGGCCTTCGGGGGTCAGTCGGTGTTCCCAGCAGCGGTACTCTCCTTGCCGCGCCGGTGGCCTGTTGGTGCTGTGAGGTCGGCCGCGCTTCTGCCCGGGCGCGGTGAGGGCAACCTCTCGAAGGCCTTGTGTGTGTGGAGGGGATGGGGGGGAGAGGGGAGTCTTTCGGGATTTGGAGGTCCATCCAGCCCGGGAGGCCGCCTCGGGGAGCGGCCAAGAACGGGAAACGCCTGCGGGCCAGGCCGGTGGGTGCGGTGCCGCCCGTGGGTGTTTCTCCGTGGGGCCCCCTCGGCCGGTTTCCCCGCGGTGCGGGAGCTGCAGCCTGCCCGGGCAGCCCCGCCTCCGGTGCTGCCGTGCTCCACAGAGGAGGAATTGCCATATCTTTCTTCAACTGAAGTTTTCTCCAGTTTTGATTTATTTATTTTTTTTTTTATGGCGGGGGTGTTTTTTGTTTGCTTTGACATAGAGGACAGAGGGAGTCTATCACTGCACATTGAGGAAGGTGCAAAAAAAAAAAAAGCCCTCAATACATTGTGAAAATATTTTTTTTCTGAGGTATCTGTTGAACCATATGGTCACTGGGGTCTGTGTCGTTGTAGCTAATGTTTGATGTGGCACAGTTAATGTCTGTTTTGACTGCATTTAGGGTGGGCTTACATGTTTTTGTCCTTTTTAATAGGTATGCAGGCAAAGATGCAGCTTCAGATCAAGCACAGAGTATGAATTAGTGGTTAAGTAGGCATCTCTGTATGAGGGTTTTACGCCAGGTCTGCCATGTAATCATTAAGTCTTTTCTACCATAACAAAATTTGCAACTGTTGTTGTTCTTGATTTCAGGTGAACTTGTGCAAGCTGTAGATAGTTAAGCCCTGCTCTTTGCTTTCAGTGGAAATTCCTTCCTTGATATATTCCACAATTTGTGCTTTTTTTTTTTTTTTCTAAAATAGGTCTACATTTATAGTAAGTTTAAGTACATTTTGCAAAATGCTCCTTTAGTCACTTAACAAAATCTAATCTCATCTAAAGGTCTTTTCATCTAATTCTTTCTTCTGACTAGCTTGTCTTATTTTTCTTGAAGGAGGACTTTCTTAGTTTGAAATTCAGATTTACTCTAACTAGTACCAAAAATAAAATTGAAGCATCTTTCTGACAGACCACTTTGCGAGTAAGAGCAGAGTAATGGACATTGTGAAACCTGCATGGCAGGAATTCCAGAGTCACAAACCCTAGGCACACATGTTTGTCTCTAGCCCTGGGGCAGTTCATGTAACAGGTAACTAAGGAAGTTGACAGTCAGACCTTTTAGCTCTGGACAGGGTAGGTGAGTTTCCAGCTGGCATAATTTTCTGCAGCAACTTGGCTACAATTGAGTATTCAATCTTTTAAATACATATGATGCAACAGGTTCTGGTTAAAAGTTCTGTCATAATTTTATTATTACTACATTCCATATTGGATGTACCAAACCTGACCTGGAATGTAGGAGAAAAAAAAAGACATTCCTAATTGTTGTACAGTCAATTATAAGTATAAATGAGTTTTTAAAATACTCACCATAAGATGAGTTTTCTCCTTGGTAAATCACTATTAACAACCTATATTTAGCATCTTGGTTATTTGAGGAAATACCAGTTTGAATTTGAGTGCACTTCAGCAAGTTTGCTGACGACACCAAGCTGTGTGGTGCAGTCGACACGCTGGAGGGAAGGGATACCATCCAGAGGGACTTGGACAGACTTGAGAGGTGGGCCTGTGCAAACCTCATGAGGTTCAGCCAGGCCAAATGCAAGATCCTGTACATGGGTCGGGACATTCCCAAGCACAAATAAAGTCTGAGCAGGAAATGGATTGAGAACACCCCTGAGGAGAAGGACTTTGGGATGTTGGTCAACATGAGCTGGCAATGTGTGCTTGCAGCCCGGAAAGCCAGATGCATCCTGGGCTGCATCAAAAGCATGGCCAGCAGATTAAGGGAGGTCATTCTGCATCTCTGCTCTCATGAGACCTCACCTGGAGTACTGCATCCAGCTTTGGAGTCCTCAGCACAAGAACATGGACCTGTTAGAGCAGGTCCAGAGGAGGGCCACAAAGATGATCAGAGGGCTGGAGCACCTCTCCTATGAAAGCAGGCTGAGAGAATTGGGGTTGTTCAGGCTGGAGAAGAGAAGGTTCCGGAGAGACCTTGTTGCAGCCTTCCAGTATCTGAAGGGGGCCTACAAGAAAGCTGTGGAAGGACTTTTTGCAAGGACATGTAGTGATAGGATAAGGCGTAATGGCTTCAAACTAGAAGCCAGTAGATTTAGATGAGATATCAGGAGGATAATTTTTCACTGTGAGGGTGGTGAGGCACTGGAACAGGTGGCCCAGGGCAGTTGTGGAGGCCCCATCCCTGGAGGTGTTCAAGGCCAGGCTGGATGGGGCTTTGAGCAACCTGGTCTAGTGGGAGGTGTCCCTGCCCATGGCAGGGGGGTTGGAACTCCATGATCTTCAAGGTCTCTTCCAACCTAAACCATTCTATGAACCACAGAATTCTATTCCTATTTAGTAATATTGATTCATCAGACATATAAAATGCAATAGACAATATTTTATGAGAACAATTTGTGGTTACAGAGTGTGTGGAATTAAGAAATTATATCATATGGTACAATGATATAATGTTCCCCAATCCATTTGTCGTGGTTTGAGT